TGCTGCATGAATTATTACAGTAAATGAACCCCAGGTTTGGGCTTGTCCGCTGTTTTATTGGGGCATTTAAATGTGTAAGTGACTTTTCCAGATGGAAAGTGTTGAGGCGGCTCGTTACCTGATTAAAGAATGCTGGACTTGAATGCCCTGCATGGTGCTCACTGAATATCCACAGCGAGTAGGGATCTTTCAAATCCTCAAACAACTAATTTCAATCAGATGAGAAAGATTCAATTATGCTTTAAAGGGAACCCAGCAACACCCATGCAGGATATGGCAGGAGAGTGTGGGCCAAAGAATTTCATGGAAAGGAGCAATTACTTTATCAATAGGACATGCAAAGCAGAATTCACTCATCAGTCCTGAATAGAAGCCCAAATAACTGAGCCTTTTAAAGAGATGATACATGGACCAGGATGGATTTGGGCCTCAAGCAGGTTTAAATGAGTTCGATTAATTTCTGTGCAGTTGTCAACTGAGGTTTTGGTCCAGTGACTTCATGATATTTAGCCTTGGATAATGGATGTTGTAACAAGGATGTAGGACTTTGGCAGCAAGTGTATCCCAATCCCACTTCATTAAATTGTAGAAATTGAATTGGTTTTGAATCTGAAGATGCTGGTTCTTCCTCTTCTAGCATCTCTGCATAACACTGACTCAATGAAAAAAGCACAGGGAAAAGCCAAACACTTTTTTTTTGCAAAAGAACATGGACATTTAAATTTAATAAATTATAAAATTAAAGATTCTAATTTGTATATACATTTTTAATATACAAGAAATGGCTATTTATTGCAATTTCTGTTAAGGCATATGAAAGTGAATGGAAGTTGCATATAGATATTCAGATGAACATATCTAATACTGTGCATTGTAGGTGAGTAAATAAGATATTAAATGCATTATGTAATAAAATAAAATAAAACCCCCTTTGAGTACTGGTAAAGCACCGTTTCTAGAATTCTCAAAATATCTGAAAGCATTCTATGGAGGTGTTGTGAGACTCTAAATATTGAATGGATATATGGATATAAAAAGTGATGCGTTCATAATAGGTAACAGAAATTTTAGAAGAAATGATGGTGAAAAAAATGGCAGATGACTGAAGCCAAAGAAACCAGAATTTGTTTGGGACTTTTTTCATGAGAAGCTGTCACTTGGATTTTAAGTTTAGACAGCCAGAACAATGACAACTGAGAAAACTGTACCTGCATGTGAGATCATAAATAGATTGCTTTGTGGGAGCAGATGACTTTATCTCTCAGATCTCTGAGATGGTCTCTGCAGGAATATATTTGTTTATAAACCTGCTTTAGTTTCTGGGGATTAGGTTACATTAAAATATTGCTTTCTGCTTGTTATGTCTGAAAATGCAGCACCTGGGCAACAGCAAACTGGTTACAGAAGATCCACTGTGATGATGCTCTTGCCCAATTACAGCATTGTAGAGAAGATGAAACAGTTGTCAAGTTTAACCAAACAAAAAAATGACCAAATTTTCCACTTCATGACTCAGAAATGAGATCAGCTCAGGAGAGCAAACCCCCACCTTTTGTCTGGGGCTGCTTTTTCTTTATCACTAGAGCCTGGTGTTGTGTTTTCCAGTAGAAATGATATTCATGTTCTTGGGGAACTGCTGAAAAAAACACCTTCTGAAGAACCCATGGCAGCTTGAAAAGAGGGCATCTTTTCTGGTCTGAAGAGACTTAACTTCCCCCCTTCTCATTCAGGAAGAGTGTGAAGAGAAGGCAGCTGGTGGCTCCTGCTCCTTAAAGAGATGGTCCATCAGCCTCTTGATGTCTTGTGCAATGTAGACTGAAGCTGCTGCCTCAAGTAGCTTAGTGCTCCCCCCAAAAAACAGCTAGAGAAATATTCAGTAGAATTAAAACCACTGAGAAACAAATAAAATTAAATCTCTCATAAGGTGAGACTGAGAAGGGAACAAGCCCTTCCAAAATGCAGATGGCACAAGGCATTGCATTGGGTTCCTAACGAACACAGAACCTAGCATAGCACCAGACCAGCCTTCCAGGAGGCTGTTCCTGCTCCTTGAGGCAGCAGAAGTTTCCACTTTATCTGGAAAAATGCTTTTTTGAGCTCTGGGCACTGCCTTCTGTGGTATTTCTTCACGCTGCCTGGTTGACTAAGCCTATTCCAGAAGCTAAGGCAGAACAGAATCTATTAGATGAGTTACCTCAGGGGATTGGAGCAATGGCTCTTGAAGAAGTCCCAGAGGGTAAGACTGGTACTCTCCAGGCAGCAAACTTTTACCTCCCCATCTGCGTAAATCCAACTTCAACCCTTTCTATCTTTGGGTTTGTAAAAGTTTTTCCTAAGTTTCATATGCTTGGATGAGCTTCCTAGTCTATGAAAAAAACTGGGGGTTGTGGTTTATTTTTATTGTGCACAGAGCTAAAAGGATATTGACTTGAAGGGGAAAAGATGAGTTTTGTACTAACCACATCTGTGTAAAGGAAATGTGGAAGGCAAGAAACACTCTGACTACAGGCTGGGAGCTGCTGAAGTGTCTCCCGTGGCACAGCAGCTGGAATGATGTTGATTTAGACACATCTCCCTTGCTTATAAATAGAATGGTGAGGTTTTTTTCCCTTCAGTGCTCATTACTACATTGCTGCTGTGCACAGATGTGACCTGACCCTACACTGTTGTTAAAACTTGTCCCATCTGTAGGTAACCACAAATCCCTTGGCACGAGGCTGCCTGGGCCTGCCTGCCCACCGTGGCTGTGTGACAGCCAGCAGGCCATGGAGCAGGGCTGGGACAGGGCAGGACACCAAGGACAAGCACCCTTGGACTGCAGGAGAACACTCCACGTCCCAACAGTGAAAGTCTGTGGTGGAACTGTTCCCACTGTGCTGCCAAACTGCACAGCCTGAGTTTTACTTCTCCAAACCAGAACAGATTTTTGCTTGTGCTTGCTGCTGCTTCCACATCTGCAGCCACGTCTGCTTGGCCCAGGAGATGTTTCCTAATGCTCTGGACTCTCAGCAGGCCTGTTGGGCTTCCCAGCCCTGCTTTTCCTGGTGTTCTTTGTATCTCTCATCCCTGCACTGAGCTGCTTTAAGTGTATCACTGTGGTCCTGTGTAAGAAGGGGCACTTGATGCCATGATCCCAGCTGAAAATATTCCTTCTCTGCTTGGGCTAGTAGCTCCATGAAGAATTTTTCTTAGACCAGGCTTGTGCTTCAAAAACTTCTGGCCACATTTCAGGTCAAAACAGTCCCACATGTCGGTGCTGTAAAGCCTGAGGTTCCTGCAGGCTCTTGCCTCCTTTCCAGCAGGAATGGCTCTTTTGGGAGAGGAGACTGGGCAGTTCATTCATTCATGGTGATCAAGGGCAGAAGGTCAATCACAGAGAGTCACACATGCTTCACCTTGCAATACCTGTGAAGCTCTTTCCCAGCAGCTGGGCCAGAGAAGAGCTCACACATTGCTGGGAATGCAGCACATTCCCAATAATTTTGTGACTCTATATATGGGTTTATTGCTGCTGCTGCTTCAGACCAGGACCAGCTCAGGCTGGAGGATGAGATCTTCCTCTCAGACTGGAAAATATGAACTTGGAGCCACCAAACCTACCTAGTGGTAAAGACAGGATTTCAGGGAAGCCCCGGAGTCTGCAGGAGATTTACCAGCAAAGAAGAAACAAATGGAAGAATCCAAGCCAGGAAAAAATCTGCTCAGATGCCACCCACAGCAGGAACCAGTCCATGCTCCCTGTCTCGGCAGTGCTAGAGCCAAGCTGAGTTCATCTTCTGTTCTCCAACCAAGAATTCAAAATGACCTATGAAAACCATGATGACCCTGAGGGGGGAAAAAAGTACTCAAAGGGTTGTCAGGTTACACATCTTAAAGTTTTCTAGCAGACCTGGTGCTGTGAATACACAATGTGTGTGTGTGTGTGTGTTCATGTAAGGGCACAGCTAACAGTTGTTCACTTCTGCACCAATAAAGCTGTTCTAAGGAAGGGAAGATAATACAACATTAATTCCTCAAAAATAACTGCATCCTATGTGGGGGGGGGGGGAAAGTTTGTCTTAACAAAGCACCAAGGAAAAGACAACAAGAATCCAGTCATATTTAAGTTAAACAGAGTGTGGGTAGAAAAAAAATCAGACCAATAAAAAAAGCACCAACCAATAAGGATCACTGAGGCTGTTGCATTACAGGAACCTAAAGATTATAAAAAATATGGATAGTTGTAAACAGAAAGACTAGGATGTTGTCAGTCCAAGTTGGCCAGATCTACCCTACTAAATGTCTTGCACATGTCCAAAAGTTTAGGAGAATCCTTTGAAATTGTTTATGGAAGTATGTAAACTACTGTTTGTCAGTTTTTAATTTACACATAAATATATGGCTACAGAGTTTTTTCTGTATTTTCTTACACAGCCCTGGCTCAGGAAGCAACATGAGCACATGCTGAGCTGTGGCCACAGCAGCAGCTCTGCCAGGGTCAGCCAAACCAAGCCTGGCATGTCCCAAGAGCCTTCCCGAAGCTGGCTGTGTTAGTGCCAGGGTTTGTGCAAGGCACAGAAGCATCACAGGAGTGCTGACCCCCTGCTTGTCAGAGTTAAAGGGATTTATCATCTTGGGACTGCTTTCTGCCATACTAAGGGTGACTCCCATCACTATTCCCAAGCAGTTTTGCATAGGCATAGAAGACTTTAAGGAGTCTGTAACTGAGAAACCTGCTAACCTGACCTAAGTAACATGGTTTGTTTGGATTCAGTGGGACACTGTAGGGATATTGCACTAATACTCTGCTGTACCCTGTACACCTAACCTAGCCACCAAAGTGTTCAGATTAGCACTTATGAAACAATCTGTCATTTCTATTTATAGTAGGCTTGAGAATTTGGTATCTCTGCCATAGCACCACTTCGATTTTTCCCATTCTTAGTCTCTACGATGGCCAATATTATGATGTTGGTAACATCTCTATAAGAGAAAAATGTTGCTTGTGCCATATTCCCATTTTAGTTTATTTTCCTAAGAGTCTCTCTTTTCATTTTCTCAGCGATCAGCTCCTGAATTCTTCGATTCCTTGTCCTTTCATAAGGCCTCCTCCTTGTAATGATGTTGTGCTGTGGTACTTCATTATCCAACCCATCAACTTTGTAGGGAACATCCACTGCATTGATTTCTGGGTGCTCCTCAGTGGCATTGGAAGGGGGTGCACGTGTTTTGGAAAGCAGAGGAGGGCTGGTGGCAGCCTGTGTGGTGGGCACTCCCACGAGAGGGCTGAGGGTTGTCAGGAGCTCCTCCTCAATGACATTATTCTTATTTACATTGGCACTGGTTACATTGCCATCCTCTGTTAGGTTGCTGTACATGTTGCAGGACTTGCAACACAGCTTATGGTACCCAGGAATGGAGCAGTAACGGGAGAGAACTTCCATGCGACAAAACATTGACTTGTCTCCTTGACAATGATCTTCTGAAAGAGAAAAAGGGAACAGATAAATAAAGAGCATCTTTACATTAATCAGAAAAAGAAACACAGCTGAAGCTTTGGCAGTGGGTGGAGGGCTTGATATTTAAAGTGGGTTGGGAAACTGGCAAATGAGCCTTCTACAAGCAGAAGCAGGCTTATATTCAACCTAAAAGTCAACTCCAAGAGTTGCAAAAGCTGATCTGAACTGTATGTACCAGCTCCATCCAAGCTCTAGACCATCACACTTGAATTTTTGCCTTCACATCCTGGAAGCTCTATCCTTAAGACCGTAAAGCCACAATGAATTGTGTTGCTGTCTTGGTTTATTCTTAAAACACACTGATTGTGCTGTGCTGTTTCTAAAACTACACTGAACTCCCACAAAGTCATGAAGTTTTATATTAAGAAATCTATTTTTTCCCTGTTTGCTCCTTTTAATGCTTCTCTGCAACCAAACAGTGACTAACCACAGTCAGGGGTAACATATATTTATCCAGACTGTCTCAGGAAAGTCAAGTCCTATTTTGATGTGTATAATTCTCAGAATTAATCCATCTCCACTAATCAGAGTGATATTGTTGCCAGGTACCCCTACTCTGAAAATAGCAGTGTTTTCTCAGCATGTCTCCTGTTTGAGAGAAAAGTGGTGCCATGAGGCTTTTCTACTCCTTCCTAGAAGGGAGCTGATATCTTTGGAACAACAAACTCCAGTCCAATGGAGCCAAGCCAGCCCATTAAAGACTGGGAGAGTAAGTAAAAGTCCTGATTTTTGTGTCAATGACTGTAATAAAAGAGAAAGAATGATAATCTATAGGCTTTAAGCTGTCAATAGCTGCTACAACAGTTTGCACTATATGGTGTTATGGCAGATCCTGATCTTGCTGAAATGCAGGTGGCAAATTGTAGGCTGAGGCATTAAAGGTGAAGTGGTCAAAGTGTTCCTGCCTGAGAACAGGAAGCCTACTCAGAGATTCCCAAGCCCTTGTGATTTCTGCTCAGGGGAGGCAGAATTGGTATGAATTGGTGGGGAATGGGTGGTGAGGGTCTAGCAGGTTCCTTGGAGAGAAAGCTGCCTGTCCTCTGCCCCACACAGACACCCCTCAGCTCCATCCTGTGCCTCCATGATGAAGTAATGCAGCCAGGCACTGCAGTGAAGGAAAAATCCCAACATGCAGCCCATGCTGAGAGAGGAATCAGAGGGTTTGTAGAAGAGGAGAGGGCTGAGGAGAAAAGCAGACTGACCAACACCTGGCATCATCACTAATAAAACATCTTCTCTGTGACATCTTCTCTGTGCTGAGACAGAGATGAAATCACTTGTCTCTCTCCCCCTGCTCTTACTACATTTCCACCTACTCTTACAGTAAAGGGTGAGTAACTCCAATTACTCGCTTTTATTTAGACTGCACCCCATGTGAGACCGTGCTCTCAGCCTGGAGTCACATTTCAACCCCTGCTACAGCACTGGCTTGTGTCAGCACCCTCACAGCAAAGGAGAGAAGCAGAGCAGGTTCAGCCATAAAAGGGGACTTGGAAAGCGTAGGTGCCACCTCTTCACACATCCTCAGTTAATAAAACAGGGCATCGTGGGTGTTTCATTGGCAAACATATCAGTCTAAAATAAAATAATAGCTGGTGCTGCTGCTTTAAAATGCTAGTGCTGGCTGAGGCAGGTGAAAACACCTCCTGTACATTGTATCTGTGCCCTGATTGTTGCTTTTGTTGCAGAAAAGCAAAATTCTAGTTCCTACTTTAGAATGGGCCAGGTATTTTTCATGTTTTTCAAACACTTAACTGAAATACTGCTGGAGATTAGGAATGACTCCTTCCTTAGGAACATAAGAATAGTACCTTGGTTTTGGAGAGATTTTCAAACCAGCCTTTTAAGAGCTGGAATGTTCATACCTACATGCACAGCTCCATACAAAGGCCTGAATGTGCCTATACAATTTATATTTTTACACACCCCATAAGAGTTCCCTTTGAACATTTTGCCTTGTGATGCATGACCCTTATGCATATTCCTCCAAATGGCTTCCATAATAAAAGCCAACAGAGACAATATTTAAATGTGATTTTAACAAGGCAGGTCCGTTCTTGGCTTTGTAAGAATCAGTAACAGCACCTTTAGAAAAATGCCTTTTTTCCTAACAAAAACATGCAATGTCAAGCTTAACAATACATGGAAATAAAACTGCATTATGTAATAAGTTTAGTGACATCTGATAAGTTGTATAAATAAACTCTGCAACTTCTCAATGCCAGAATGAAATTTTGATCCTCTATCCAAACCAAAATATCCAGATTTGCTGAACTTTTATTTATTTTTACTTGCAGTATGCATGACAGACTGGAAGTATATATTCAAAACATCAGTAAGAAAAAAATAAATCAGTTTCACAGTCACTTTGGTACACATTAGTCTCATAAAAAAATATTGAAAAGCAAACTGAATTGGCACATCTTTAATATTATGTTAAATACATACAAAACACTAATAAAATATCCCTGATAAACCAAAGTGCATATAGACATAGTGCACAATGCCCAGATACCTTATTGCACCATTCTCTATAGCCACCCATCTCTTGAAACATCACTAAACATTGTCTATTTAAAGGTAACAGTCATGAATATATTTATACAGTTAAACACCGATTATTTTACATAACAGTATTCAGTGCCAGATACGTGTCTTTGCTTTTTCACCTTGTCATGTAAATTGTTAACATGTTTCAGGAAATATTAACAGCAAAATTTAAATATGTGATCACATGATAATGACAAGTTTGAAGTGCTACACTGTTGACGACCCAAAGATTCAAAAATGCCACTTTTCCAAAAAATATTATCAAAGCAATAAGGTAGTAATTTGCTCCAAGACTGCAGTTTTACATTTCTACTATTGGTACTGACTGTCACAAAGAAGTTTATGACTTGTGAATTCCAAATCTTCAACACAAACACGGAAGGTGAAGCACGAATGCCAGTTAAATCTCAGTAAGTCAGGCCACAATCCTGTCTCGATGAAGATATGGATATGCACTGTGCAAATCAACCTCCAATTTAATTTACTGCCTTCCAACAGTTATCGTTCAAGTAAAAACACTCCATATGAAGATTAACTCAAGGTACCAGTGTACTGTTCATATTTAAAGCTGGATCTGGTAAATTAATGCCATTTACATTTCAACATTAAGGCATTTTTCTAAAATTCATCTCCTAAGCAAAAAAAGCAATAAAAATTGAGGTAATTCTGTAGTAGTTCACACTGTTATGTTTGCCAGTTGACACATCTAAGAGCACACACGCACGCACACACACACACACACACAACCATACCAGTCAAGTCAGACATGCACATGGTGAAAAAAGACCAGAGATGTAATGAGTATAAACAGCTCCATGCTGAGCAGCTGGAGACATCGTAGTCAATGAAAACATCATATTGCCTCCGCCACGTCAAGGAAAACACCACCACACCACCTTCACCATGGACCATGCCTGCTCTGCTTTGGGTTTGTTTCTAAAGTGAAAATGAGCAAAACTGGCAAAAATTGTGCGATGGAAAAAATGAACGCAGCTTTTCTCGAGGAAAAACCCTCCAAACGACCACCAGGAGTGTGGCCAGAGCAATGGCATCAGAGCAGCAGGGAAAGTACCGACAGAAACTCAGCTTCTGCTTCCCAGTGAGCCCTCCACGAGTCACAAACGTAAAGGTGAGGGTCAGGAATAAAAAATGAGCAGCAAGGGTGAGGAAAGCAACAGCACCACAAAGGAAAATGGAATGAAAAAACTCTTCCATTCATCAGACTACCCTGTCAGCGAACTGAAACCAGAGAGTTACGAGATTTCGGGTTTTTAGATAAAGGAGAACTTTAGCACTACAAGGTGTCATTATTGTGATGTGATCACATTCACAATAAGTTCTCAGTTTTGCTATCAAACTGAACATCAGGAACCAGTAAGAGCCTTTTTTCACCACCACCAAGCAACAAGCAAACCGATCCCAGCTCCCTTTCAGAGGACTGCAACATACTGTGGAGATCCAACTTCACACATCCAACACTTCAAGACCTCCACCACCAGTGCTATGCAAGCTCCAGAGAAGAAAGACACCGAGCACCGAGTGCCTGGTGTGAAAAAACAGATTCAGCCCAAGATTTAAACTTGGCAAAGTCAAGGGAACTTTCCGCATAGAGAGAAGAAGAGAGCAAAAGGCAAAGTCCACATTCGATGTGGCATGCATTTAAGGGCAAAGGCAGAGTTATAAATGGGTCTTTTACTTGAAGATATTTTCTGGATGGGGTAGTCTGGATCGGGTCTTGACAGCCATTGTATCATGTAGGTTTTCTTTGAAGGATCAGAAACGTTTCCTTGAATAGAGGAAAAAAAAAGATGCAACACAACATATGTTAGGCAGCATTAAATTGTTGTCCTGTCAGAAGGGGACAAGTTCAGAGAGTGAGTGGGCTCTAGTTATGAAGGAGCCCAGGGAAAGATTACAACCAAGCTGATTTTGGGCAAAAGGACCTGCTTGGGGAGGTTGCTACAGCTCATGCCCAGCACTTCACAGCCAACACTAAAGACAGCCCAAGGGCCAGTTCTCCAGCAGCACTTCTCATGGCAGTGTCACACATCCCCAGAGACATGCAGTCTAGTTTAGTTACAGTGCCTCATTAAAATCTTTGTATTGGATACTATAATTGACAGCTTGCTTCTAATTAATTAGAAATCAAAAGCTACCCTGAGAAATACATCAGGAAAAGAAGAATATGAATGACTTAATAACAGGAATATGTGAAATGATCTCACAAATATAATTTGCAAACAGCTGAAAAGCTAACAAGGATAAAGGCCTTATTGCCCTGGATTAAGGAGGAAAAAATTAATTACAGCTTCTAAAGATGGAGTTAGATAACCTCTGCAGAAAAACTGAGTTAGATAACCCCTGAAGATAACTTGTGTTTGACAGAATGAAAAAGAAGCCTGGAACTGTTGGTGGAGGTGGGGAAAGCAAAGAGGCATCCTTGGTTCGCCACAGCCCAGCAGCCCCTTGCCAAGCCCCACAGGTCTCAGAGGTGCAGGGCTGGACTCAGGCACTGCTCCTCTCCCAGGGCAGCTGTTGGCTTCTGGCCACATCTGGCCATCAGCACTGTGCTGAGGTCTGCCCCAGGCTCTCAGGCTGTCCTGGGCCAAGCAGTGCTCCCCAGCAGGAGAAGAGTGCCCAAGAAGCCCATCAGCCACACAGCAGCTCCACATGTGGAATTCTACTCAAAACAGGGACTATGGAGTAGTGCCCTCACCCCGACCGGCAAAGCACACAAGTATCAATTCAATGAAGGCATTGCAAATAATTAAATAATTATTTTTTCAACAAGTAAGAGAAGCTATTGAGGAGAAGCCCTTACTGGGACAGGGAGGTAGTCTGCAGATTCTGACGCTCTCTGGCTTGCTGTCCTTGCACAGGCCGATGACATTGTCCCTGGTCCGGCACAGGACCGGGCGATCCTGGGTGCCATTGCCACAGCTGACAGAGCACTGAAAGGACAGGCACCAGTTAAACCCCAGCCACCCTCTGCCAACAACACATCAGAAATTAGCTTTTCCATTTTAAACTGCCCTTGATTCAAGCTGACATGGTACATTATTTGAACCACTGCAGTGATGAAGAACAAGGGAGAGCCACTCACTGCTTCTTGTGGTACACCAGTAATTGTGAAACACTCCAAGAACAAGCTGTGGTCTGAACAATAAACAAACAACTGCCCATGCGAGCCATCTATTCACAGAGCATCTATTCACAAATACAGGGGTGGCATTACTTGTCGTGCTCGTTCCACCAGACAGGAATTAGCTGTTTGAGACCTCCGGGAAGAGACTGACCTGTGACCAGGGTCCTATTCTCCACTGTGCCGGGCACAGCTCCCTGTTGCAGGGCCTCCTGCCCTCGGGGCGGTCGTTGTTGCAGTACTTGGTGTGCACAGAGCGGTTGGTGTTGTCGTGCAGGGGCTGGATGCAGCGCACAGAGCGCACCTGATATCCCGTCTTCCCACAGGATTTGCTGCAAGGCTCCCATTCCCCTGTAACCCAGCTGGGTTGGTGAAAAGAGAGCGAGCAGAGGAAAATTCAAACTGTTGATCTGTAACTCTTAAACACAGGTTTAACATGATGTTAATACTAGTTCTAATATGCAGAAAATGAGAAGATATAAAAAAAACCCAGAAGCCGTTATGGTGAGGATTATTTGACTGCCCCTGAAATGTCATTAATAAGACCCAGATCTTCAATATTACTCTTTCTCACTATCTCCAAGGTAAGCATTACTATTACTTTGCTGTATTTGTTGCCTTTTCCAAAACTGCACATAAAAATATGGTCACTTTTATGTCAAAAGCAGCCACCCAAGGGTGCTGCTGAGCTTCCCAGGTCTGGGTGCATGAGATGTGCCTTGTCTCATAATGCAGCTCGTTGAATGAAGCCAAAACATCTGGGTGAAAAATGCAATTCCTGCCTGGCCCATATCTGGGCACTCCATGGACCATATCCCTGGCCATGTTGGACTCAATCTGCTGAAGCACTGGCAAACCCAGTGCTGTGAGTGCTGAGCTTGGGCACATCAGGGTCCTCATCATCATAAATGTTTGGTTTGGGGAAGGCGACACTCCACTGAAAACCAGAAAGTTCGAGTTCATAATTTCCAAATCAGTTTGGCCACTGAAAAATGAAATCTACAGTTTGTAATGTGGTGTAGTTGAAACTCTCACTGATCACCCAAACCGACTCATTAATTACAGCTACAAATTGTAAAGGACTTAGAGAAGAACAACAGGGACAGACAGCACCAAAGGAAGTTTACCTAGACTACTGAAAGCTTGGTTATAATTAAGTGAAGACATACAGCAGTCTATAAATATTTACAGAGTGCAGACATCTGCAAGATGGAAATATTGTTCCACATAAACAATATTCTTGGGATAAACTTAACCAAAAAATAGACATAGTCTGGAGAAGAAATTGTCCTGAAGTACTCATAAAATCCTGAGTTTGGAAATGGCCAAAAAATAGTACAAGACACTGCACTACACATTCCAGCTAATCAGAAAGTAACAATTTCTCCCAACTTTCTCTTTGTAACTTACAGAAATTACACAGCTGTGAAGAAATGCAAGAGCTGTGAAGCCAGGAATCCTGAGGTGACTTCTGAGACAAAGAAGAGTTTTTCCCAGAAGTGAAGAAGCAGCAGATTAGTGTAGAGGGTGTCCCAGAGCTTTGTAAAACTCCTTAATAATTGCCTCTCCTATGTACAAGAGCAAAATGCTTGGATGACATTCTGTGGAAATGGAGCTAACTGAAACTTCAGGGATCCAAGTACAATTTAGGATCCTATTGAGCCTTTGTGGTACCTGGGCCCAATTATATTTGCAGCTGAAAGAGGATACAGTCCTTTCCAGAGAGCCTGAGATATGGTTAGGTCATTACTTCAGTTTTCCAATAAATAAATGTTCAACCCTGACCCATGCAGAGTTTATGGGGCACAGTTTCTTGCCTTTTCTCTCTTTCAAATCTTTTTCTTTTGAAAGGAAGTTAGGAAATATTGTGGTATGTTCTATTTATTTGCTGTGATTCCTGGAACATACACTTGGTCCCCAGAGATAAAAGCTGGGATCAACATATTCCTTTCTTGTTGCAGTAGTAGCACAAAGAATATATTAGTCCTACATGTGGCAGGATTAACCTGCTGCCAGTCAAAAAAAAATCATCTGTAAAATGTGAATTAAAATATTTATAACACTTGACTATGTAGAGCAGAAATGAAGGTACAACAGGCATTTCCTGCTGTACAAGGGCAGCCAGAGAAATCTAACAGGTCAAATATTTTCTCTGTGTTTAAATGTCCAAAAATATGCTGTGAACTTTATAAGGATTTGGATTTGAGAGACTGGACGTTGACATTGGTTGTCTTCTGCAGCACTCTGTACATATGCTCTGACATGGTTAACTCACACTGTGTAAAATTTGCTGGTATAAATTGAATTTATGTCTATTTTGTATCACCTCAAGATGACCTGAACACAAAAGTCTGGATCAGGACAGCAATTCTTTTCTAACCCAACTTATTTCATAAGTCACAGGAACCAGAAATCACACAATATTTCCATGAGCAGAACAGAGCATGAGATGCTCACAGTCCTGGGCCCCTGCAATGGCCACGAAGGTGAAGCCAAAGCCACCTTCCTTGAGGTGACAGTGCTGGCTGGGTGTGATGCCCCTGCATCTCCAGGGGATGCTTACATGGGCTGGGAGCACTCCTGGAGGTTGCACACCCTGCGGATGGGTTTGGGCTTCTGGATGAGCTCGCAGTAGCTGCGATGAACCATCTTGTGGTCCGTCTTCCTGCGGCAGCCGTACTTGGTGAACTGGTAGCCTGGGGAGAGACACTGCTCTTACTCTGAGGGCTGGCACACCTCACAGAGGGCTCCAGCTTCAGAGGAACTGCACAGATCCTGTCAAGGGCTGCAGTAGGAACTGCAGAGGAACATGCTACCAAAGGAGGGGTAAGCTGCATTGAATAAAGATTTGCAACGCAAATTTAACACCCAAAATTGTTCACCCCCTATATTTTTCACTCCTTTAATCACAGAATCACTGGGATGGAAGAGACCTTCTAGATTATCAAGTCCAACCCAGCCCTAACCTGACCATCAGCCTTGGGAACAGCACCAGCATTCACATCTGGCCCCAAAAAGGAGTCTGACATTGCAAAAGCCACATCATTGGATGGGGATTTACAAAGGGCTGCCCCATGGCACCTTGAGGTTCAGCACCTTCACAGCTTGGAGGCCCTCCTCCAAATCTTGTACATTTGTCCAACTTTTCAGTTTCATAATAATAAATCAGCAATTAATCAGCCCAGATCTGCCCCCAAACCATTTAAGTCAGATTTTAACCCCATTCACTATTTATTTATCTATTACTTTAACAAAACTCCTCCCATACTCAGAGCTCCCTAATGTCTCGTGGCAATAAATGAATTTTGCATGATCTGAGATTTTGTTTTTACCTCCTCCACAAGGTTTTGAACATTGGGACCATTTCTTCAAAGCCCATTCATATGACAGTGAGTCCTCTTCCAAAACATTATTGTTATCTACATTCAAGGAATCTTCATGGATCATGTACTTGTAAGTCAAAGATATCTTGGCACCACCATGAGGAATCACCTAATAAGCAAAGGAGATGTAATGAAAAAAGATATGAAAGGCTGATATCAGGAGCTCTGTGAGATGATGTGAAACGGTGATCATGGCTCACATATAAAAACATCCCCGGAGGGATTTCAACTTTTTAGCTGCGCTCAACACATTTTTTCCCTGATGAAAAAGTATCTCCATCCTTATGACACAGAGTTTCTAAACTGCATATTAAGAAAGACTGTGGTTGATTTAGACTTATTTTCCTTGCCAGCATTGGACTGACATCATGATACTAAATTTTTTCCATATCCCATCACAAAGGAAGGAAATTTTGTACTGAAATGATAACGGATAGTTCCACTAAAGACAAAGCAAATTCAACTGCAGAAATAAGTGAAACCGGCAAAGAAAATTGCTTATATTTCTGATAAAACACAAATATTCTTATGATAATCCTGGAATTCTGCAAGGCTTTTTACTTAATCTTGACAGAAATATAAACTATTTAGAAAGAGGTTTTGTTATCACACTGCACTAAGACAAATGCAAGAAAACAGAACTCAATTTGAGCAAAGTGCAAAATATTTGTCCTTTGGAATCATAGTATTTATTCTTCCTTTGAAGTTCAGCTGGTGTAGATCAACACATTACAGTTGTTTTCAGAGGGATTTTAAATTAACTTACCCCTGAATTGAAGTCTACTGTTTGCTAGTTTGCAATGAAAAAAAGAATATATTTGGGTGGTTTTGGGAACTGTGGAACTGTTTTGCCCTGAAAAAGAGTGCCAGGATCACAGGAATCCTGCATCTGCCTTTGCAGGATACATTTTCAAAACATGGATGGGAGAAGGAACTATTAGATCTAGCTGATATGAACCACTCTGGCCTTTTTTTGATTGGTGCTCACATGTCAGATAGGATAATTAAGCTGCAGTCTTTACTCAGTGGCTGATTGCTATGCCACCCACAGGAAATAATCACGACAGCTGGCTGCTCAACACATAACCCTGAATTATAACAGCAATGAACTGGGAGAAAGGAATTAAAATACATCTCCTATTGTCTTTTAATTGAAGCAGATGTCTTCTTGTGACTCCCTAGAGGAATGTGGAGGATATGCTAGCCCACTGTGGCTGTGTGGAAGGTGGTTTCCATTTGGCTCACCAGGATGACGATGCCGTGCCGCAGCGGCCCCATGGTCTGCACGGTCTCTCTGTCGTCATCATTGCGATATTCCCACTCCACACCCATGTCAATAAAGACCTTGGAGTCTGGCACATAGTTGTCCTCACTTAGAATGAATTTCCCCGTTTCACGATTTTTAATAGCTGGGAACAACACAAGAAAAGTGAATACAAGAGGTTTGTTTCTCATCTCCAGTTTTGTTCTGCTCGTGTCCCAGTGGACAGAGTTGAAAAGGCCAGTGTGCATTTTCCCTCTCTTCCCTCACAGGTTTGGAAAGACTTTTTCAGGTGTTTCACTGAATTGTCAATGCTTTTCTGCTCAGCTCCAGGAACATCAGTTGTCCTTTTTTTTCCTTTTTCATAGCCTGCCTTGCCAGAGAAATGAGGCCAATGCAGCTGCACCACAGGGGTCCAGCTGCCTGCTCCCATATAACAACTTCTGAATTCACTGGCCAAATCCGAGCCAATTTGAGAGCCAGTGGGGGTCCCAGAGCTATTCAGCTCTTTCATATGTTGCAAGGAAGCTCAGAGGGTTGTTACTGCTCCATCAGAGAAAGGCTACTGAGCTAACCCCCAGCAGGTCCCCACAGTGAGAGAGGGACACTAGAAGCAGCATTAATTCTCCTGCTCAGATTTAGTCCTGACACCAGCACAGCCCTGTTAAGCTCCTGCTGCTCTGCAGACACCTGCCACTGCACACAGAGCCTGGTTCCTCTCTTCAGCTCTCACCAGTGCTCCATCCTTCACCTGGAGAGACTTCAGCCACCTTTGGATGAGGACAGGTTTTCACCTGAGATGGAACATTTGCCCTCCTTGTTAGAAGAAGCAGGGACTATTTGTTGTGTAACACCAGATTTTAACTCCATTCTCTGCCTGGCAGCTACCTGAGCATCCTGCTCCCTCAGAGTGGCCCAGGCAGGGAGCCAGCTGTCCATGTGCACAGCACTCACCCCACCTTGGCAGAACTTTGTCTGAACAAGGACTGCTCCCTGATCCACAGGGCCAGGCTGCCCTGGGCAGCCAGGGAAGCATTCGCTGGGGAGAAGCTGGGGTGACTCACACTGTGGTTAGCAGATCATTCACTGTAAATCTACTTCCAATTAATAGCAGCCTACCAGTCACTGCTTCCCATTGATTTCAGGGCCTGGGAGGAGTGGATTTCCATTACCTCCTAAACTGCTGGATTGATTTGGCAGCCTCGTGTCAGTACTGTTAGCAGGGGGGCAGAATCTGGAACAGATCTCGATATAGCTGGGAAATTACTGAGAGTGGGAAGCATGAAAGATGCACACAAAGACCATGGAATGGTTTGGGTTGAAAAGGACTTTGAAGATCATCTACTTCCAACCCCCAAAGATAATGCACTGCACCCCATAAAGTAACCCAGTGCCTCTTCCCAGAAGTTTTCACACATCACATGCACATACCAACACAGAGATCTGGCTGGGACACCCTGGAATACAGCACAGGGAAATCAAATTGCCAAACAAGTTTCCTAATTTAACATACTTAGAGAAAGTACATGGTGTGGGTGGGTAATGGGTAAACAAATGTATAAACACATTGTCAGCCTCCAGAGACAAAAATAAACACCAGGAAAAATATTCTGACTGAAAATCTTCCTACTTTTTACTTACCAAGATGATGAGTGGTGGCATCTGTTTCCTGTATAAGTAAATGTCTTGCACCAGCAGGAATTTCAAACATCTTAACGTACCCTATATTGAGGTATTTGAAAAGATAGTTATGGACTAATATGCCACAAACAGGGAGAGTTTGTCTTAGGTTTTTAAATAAATCTTATTTTCTGAAAGCGAGGTGTATTAAACAAGATGAAGCAAATCCAGCATTATTCCCATTCCCATTTCTGTGCCAGGTGATGGAACATAACAGGGGCAGAGGGCTTTGGGTCAGAAGAGAGGTGCCTGAAGTATCACAACAGTCTTGGCTTCAGACTAAAGTGGGCTTTGAGTGCCATGTGCACCCACAGAGACCACACAACCTCCTGCCTGACAGTGCCTGATGATCACACACTACTGCAGCACTGGAGTGACAGAGCAGCTGGCTGACATCAGCTGCACAAGTCCCCAGCTCTCCAACAAGGAGCAGGGAAGCCCTCTCCCATGCATGCACAGGCCTTGGTATCAGCAGCTTTAACTGCTCACTGGGCAGAAGTCTTATTTTCATATTATAAACACATCTGGAAGTAAGTCCAGATTGTTTATTGGAATTAATGATGCTGCAAATGATTTTTAATTGTCCTGGTACTTTCCATGAAACATAAGAGACCAAGAAAAATACCCTGAATTCCACAGGACAAACCACACTGGATGTACTGACCTTGCTTTTTTGGTATTCTTGAAAATGTTCTTTTCACCACTTTGCAGTGGGAATTATCTCCTCCACAGACACCACACTTATCTTCCTGCTTTGTGGAACCTATGACCCTGTCACACCCAACTTTCTGTGCACAAAAGAGAGAAACAGTCATTCTTATTTATCCACTATTCAATTCAAATGAGCCTTCACTTTACATATCAACCCCCAGATTCTGCTTCAGCAAAGCAGCACACCTCATAGTATTCTCCTGGAAGACCAACAACTAAACAGATTTTAATACTTCCAGTTCCTATAATAGCTGTCAACTGGCTGATTATATTTTCATATTATGCTTCACAGTGGTTCTCTTACTGAAGGAAAGCAGCATGGTTAAGGAAAGCTCTTAAGCCTCAGCCTATCTTAAGACAGATACTTAAATTCCAGGAGAATCTAGGCATCTATATGGGGATAAGAACCTCCAGCAGTGTTTTGCTAGACAGATACTCATTCCTTTGAAAGATGACCTGCAGCAGATCCCAACTTAGAGGAACTGTCATTGATTTTTTAAAAATAGCATGATCAAGTACCAAGAGAATGCACATCAGCCATATCCTAACACCACTTTCCTTGAAAGCTGCTGTGCTTTCCTATTTCATTGTACATTCCACCCCCACTAAACCTCAGCAGGGAGAGCTTTCCTTGAAAGCTAATTGTAATAGCTCATCTTAAAATACTGCATGAAATGTTTCTTGTGTAGGTAGGTGCTTTTGGAATCGAGTCGCATGCATGGCAACTGTGAATATCACATATAATATTGTGACAATAATCCTAATGAAATCTCCTTATTGCCCAAAGTGTTATTATACTTAGTCATGCTCAGAGAGAAACCCTCAAGGTAGAGTTTGAGTTGTTTTCACACTGCTGAGCTCTGCAGGAGCCCCCAGGCCCTCACCAGGCAGTCACCCCTCACACAGATGCTGTAAGCATCCTTGTAGGAGCAGCGGGTCCCGTCGTGCACCATCCTCTTCATGTACACCACATCCCCTGTCTCCTTGGATTCACAGTAGAGGTGGCACCTCTCCTTGGCTGAAAAACAAAACAACCCAAATTGGGCATGTTCAGCTCTCAGTTTAGTTGCTGGTGTTGTGAACAGCACTTTCAGTAGTGTTGGCTCTCTCTTCTTCCTTGCACACATCACAGAGCCCAGCGTGGTGCCCATAAATCATTGATGCTTATCCCCTTTGAAAAACTCTGTGATCTCTTGGAAAATGCTGAATCATAAAGCATCCATGTGTCACCATTAGGAGACAGGCTTAAAAATAACAGATCATTGACTTTGAGGGGGGATCTATTTAATCCTTTGCAGATGATGCAATCTGGCAGAGCTCTCCTCAGTTGCATGACTACCTGTGAGAGATGCTGGTTTCTCCTGCACTGCACTTAAATGAAAAAAAGCCAAATTAATTTTCCCATTAAAAGCAACTGTTGGACACTGAGTGAACCTGGCATCCAAAATTTCTTCAGAGACAGCTGGGCCATAGCATTTCATCCTAACCACAAAGTTAATTTTCCCTCATGGTTATACTTGTATTTATGATAATTTAAACCATTAAACAAGAAGAGATGTCAAAAAGATTCAGACAAAAAACATTTTTTTTACTGCTAACACATGCACAAACAGCCAGGCAAGTGGTATTTTCTCTAATCTGTTCCAAAGAGCTAAGAACAAAAAATGAAGCTGAACATGACTAGTCAGTGGTTGAATAAAGTTGTATTCCACTAGTGTATTTCATTTTATCCATGTCTCTTGCTGTCCTCAGCCCCATAATAGGATTCACTATGCTTTCCTTGGCACTGAAGAGCAGATGGCCTTTCTGCTAGATGAAACAAATAGAGATTCTGCTATTTTAACATGATTAAAAGTTGGAATGATTTTCCCACCATTTAAAACAATAACAACCTTTCCATTGTAGCAGTTCAACTGAAATAAATCTTCACAGGCCCTTTGCATTCTTCCCCTGTACAGTTCCATGGCCTCTGCCCTCTTTTTATAAAGTCCTTGTTATTGCTGTTGATGTCCTCAAGGCCACTGGGTATTGGTACATCAGAGACCTTTGCTACTGCTCCCAAACCATGCAGAGAAGCCATGCTGAAAATCCAGGGTCTAGTTTATTAAAACAGGTACTTTTTTGGTGCAAATTCTTCATAGGAGACTATTAAGATCATAATAATGGCAGACCTAATGTATATATTAGAAACCTTAACCTGTGCACAGGATAGATGTGCACACAGCACCCCTGGGTGTGCAGCCACCCCCACCCCACACACAGCACACATTCACTGCCTGTGATTAAATGAAAATATCAGCAGGTCTGACTGGGTGCCAACAACTCTGCACAAGGGCTTTATTTTAGAGATGGTTCTGCTCCCACTGCTCCATGGAGCAGTAAATGTGTAAGTGCTGCTAAATTAGACCCTGCTATTGCAAAGAATTATTTTCTTCCTATTCACTGGTGCTGGACACAGTAGAAGTGCAGGAGCATGTGATGGTGTGTCTGTCCAGTCCCTGCTCTCTGAGTCCTCATTTAACTGAGGCTGGGAGCTCATGGCCAGAGTCCCTCCCTGCTGCCCTGGCAGATGCCCAGGGAGATGCAGGAGCCTGTGAGCACAGCAGGGTGAGGGCCTGGGGGCTCAGAGGGCCTGGAACAGGAGACAATGGGGCATGGGATGCTCAAGGACACACTGAGGTGTACCCCAGCTCAGTGGCTTTTCTCTGCCCTCAGCATGAGGCACTCCTCTCTGTTCTTATGCCCTGCACAATGTGTCAGACACGTCCAGCTGAGCTGCCTGTGAAGTGTATGGATTTATGTCACTTCTGAGCCACAACTGCATTATCCTCACAAGTATGTCACTGATATGCCTTATCCTTACAAAAGGGAGTTTTGAATAGATTAGAGTTCAAGCATAAGCTTGTCTCTAGCCTTATTTTCACACAAAAGCTGTTCCCTCTAATAACCCTGCACAGGTAAATGTAACTCTCAAGGTGTCTGCAGTTATACCATAGTTATATTGGAAACCAGCAGTGCCCAGGGATCAGTGCTCAGACATCAATGAGCTGGTTTCTGACCCAGAAGCCATTGAATTTAATTGAAAAAAATCTGATTTGTTTCACCGGTCTTTGCAGCAGACTGCTCCAAAGGCTAAAGCACAAGCAAAGGTCCTGCAGACCACAGCCTTCATCTCTCCACCCTGTGCCAGCAAAACTATTTCATGAAATTAAGCTGTGAGGCTGTGTCTGTGCCTTTGAAAATCCCAGACTGACAGACTGACCAAGATGGCATGAAAAGAATGAGGGAACTCTGAGAACTATTTGGGAAGAAAGTCAGGCAAATTAATTATAAGGAATTTGCCATTAATTTCTGGCAGAGTATCCTCTCACTGGAATGCAAAATGATTCACCCAAAGTGACCCTTCCCCTCCCAGTGAGGGCAGCTGGGCTGAGGATGGGGTGGGTGCTCAGAACCTGCCCCTTGCCAGGCCAACCCTGCCCTCAAGAATTTGTCATTCAAGTAAGGCGTTGGGGTTCAAAAACAGTTCAAAAACAGCCTCTTTGTTTAGTAAAACATCTCAGAGTGTTTTCTGGCAGGAGCAGACACGGCCCAAAGCAACCAGCTGCACTTGCATTGACAGTTAAGCTGAGGCATTAACAGGAACAGGAACATTTTTGTTCTAGGAGGTGATCTCTGTCAACCTTGTTGGCTTGAGAGCCAGCACCCATCCAACCCAACAGCTGCCTCCAACAGTGCCAGCAGCATTTGGAGGAAGACACAGGAACAAACTGGAAACTTTTCTCAGAATATTCTCTGGTTACTCCTACACTGCAGCTTGGGGACTTCCAAAATCATGACTGGAACTTGGTGTTTAATGGCTCTTAATGGACTGTAGAACTGTCAAGAATTTTTCAAAATAATTTCTAAAACTTTCTGGCCTCAGCAATTTTCTGTGGCAGTGAATTTCAAGATAATTAGATGCTTTGTATTAAGCCTTTCCTCTTATTTGTTTTAAATCTGCCACCTGATAATTTTATTTGATGTTCCCAGGCTCGTGTTATGAGAAACTCAATAATCATTCCACGTTCAGTCTCTTTGGGCCACTCCCAACTCTGTAACTCTATCTTTTTAATCTACATCCTTGCTTTTCCAGGGTGAAAAGTCCTGGTTTATCCAAACTCTCCTCATCCAGAAGTCATTATTTATGTTTGCTTTATTCTGGCTGGAGTTCAGCTGTGGGTGTTTTAGCAGCCTAGGCAGCAGTGAGATGGGCACAACGTGAGCTGCATTGGCTGAGTATTTAAAGTGCAGACACAATGTTCAGGTACACAGGGACAGGTCAGTGCTCTCCATCTCTCCCTTCACAGTCACTGAACTGTTATTCCCAGGTTATTCCCAGCCTTTCTCTTCAGAGGCCACCTACCAGTTTTTACCCCCACATCCATTACTGGCATTCATTAACACCAAACTTCCTTTGCCTTCTTGTGTCCCTTAGTGTCACAAGGTCCTTCTGCAGCTCTCAGAGTGGGCCATCCTCCCATACAAATCCATTCCCTTTTATCTCATGGTAAATCCATTTAACAGCTGGCATTGGGGAACAGTGTCCAAAGTTTTTTGAAAATCCAAGTGCATTGCATAAATTGAGTCACTCATACACTGATACTCACTGATGCCTCCAAACACCTCCTAATAGATTTAGGAGGCATGATTTCCTGGGAAGAAGATTTACCCCTCCCTATATAATTTTTATTCATATTTGTAACAGATTTTAGTTTCCACAGGAGAGGGGCTGCTCACCATCAACATGTTCATAGGGCAGCCAGTGGTGTTTGGTGTTCTGGTACTCAAAGTAGGGGTCCCACTGCCGGCACTGCTCCTCTCTGAAGTCCTCAAAGTCCTTGGGACACTCCTGGGTGTTGCACAGCTGGAATTCGTAGCTCGGCCCCACACACGTGCGGCCTCCGTTGGCAGGACTGAGACAGGCAGAGAAAACCATGGTCAGTTTTGCTTTTATTTCATTCATTAAGTGTCTGTTAAATCTTTTGAGGAGCCATTTGTTTACCAATCATGTCAGCAGGCACTTGATGAAGCCAGGGCTGTATTTCCTTTCAAAACCTGCTGTCACTATTTAGCTGTTAAAAAGCAACTTCTGCAAGAAGAGGTTTAAACTACTTTATAAAGGCAAGAAAAGCCATTTTCTTGGTGTAGCCAGGAAAGGAAAGCACAGCAGAAATCGTTCACATTCACCCCTAATGCAGCAGCAAAGGCAGAGCAGCCCAGCCCTGTGTGTGCCCCCAGATGAGCACCAGATCCCTGGCAGATCTGGCAATGCAGAGCTCAGGACCTGTAGCTGGGTTTTCATCCTCTTCCAGGAAACACAGAAAACGTTTTTAATAGCACGTTAGGCTTTTCCTACATGCAAATAGGTTTTACAACTAAAGCTGTGCCCACAATTATAAAGGTCACTTTTCTGTTGCCAAAGTAATAAAGGCTGAAAAGAGAACTGGCAAATGTCTTCTTAACAGAACAATTTCCATTGGAAAATGCTGCTTCATAAAACTCAATTAAAAAAAAAACAAATCAATGATAAGATGATTTTTAATATTAGCCAAGTTCAATTGCTTTATCAACAAAACAAGAAATTCAATGTTAAAAATACTCTCTCTGTTAAAATAATTTAATTCCAACAATTGTTTTAGTCCTTGCTGTTAGGATCTTGACATTTTATGATACCACACTAAGATAGCAATAATTACACATTTCCTATCCTATGTATACAGCAATCTTTATTAACTATACTTTACTTCCACTGTTACTGAAATTGAATTATTCTACATTATCTAGATGACCCAATCAGATGTAAGTTATTAAAGCAAGACAATTCAAAATTCTTAAGATTAACTTTGGGGAAAGTTCTGATCTCAGGAGCTTTGTTCCAACTTGGAATAAAAACAGTTTGAAAATATTTTAAGACCTTCTTGTTGAAATATCCTAAAAGGTGGATTAAAGAAAACATTTTAAAAGGTTAAAAAAAATCCAATAAATCACTTATATTATTTCAGACTCCCATTTTAAAATGACATATCTAGGACTCTAAACTTTTAGTTATGCTTTAAACAGTACTGTATTAGTCCTTGTAACCAGTTAAATGGATGGATAAACTGAGAAATAAAGATGATTCATGACTTGCTAAGGGCGCCAAAAGTAGAATTTCTGACAACATATGCTATGGGTCAGATTTAACAAGCACCACTCCGCATCCTTTCCTGCTCTGCTGCACTGGCCATGCACTGAGGATGCCTGTGCAGCCTCTGCACACCAGTGGGGTGTCACTTACTGTGGGTTGTCACACTGCCGGGTCCTGTACTTCACCCCGGTGCCACACGTGCGGGAGCAAGAGCCAAACTTGCTCCATGCCCCCCAGTGTCCATCCTGCTTCAGGATGTCTGGTGTGAGCCAGATGCAGTGACCTTTAAAGCAATGCTGAAAGAGAGAATCAGATGTCAGAACGATTTGATTATTAACTTACATCAGATGAGAAGCTGTTGCACCACACATTTTATTTTCAGCACAAGTTCTGGATTTTTTTCACCTCTCCAGTAGAAAATAGAGGGACTTGCTGTCAGATTGTGCCCATGATCCCAAACTCACTCAGATTTTACAACCTTACATGTCAGTATGCACATGTGTGCATGCAGGTTTCAATTCTACCAAGTTTGTTAAACCGTTGTCAGCGTTACATTTCCTCATCACCTGTCTGCAGCAGGGATATCATTTAAGGGAAATGGAGAATCCCAGATCTTGGAGCCTAAGAGTAACATCCTGCCTCCACTACTGCCTGCAGCCTCTCCAGGCAGCAGTCAGGAGCTCTGGCCACAGCACCATCCTGCCCAGCCTCTCCCAAATCCACACACATATTCCTATAATAAATGCAATCAGCCAAGTGTCAAGGAATTAAAGCAAGCTCACATTGTAGACTATTAATGCTTTTAATTAATGCTTTTAATTAAAAGCTTTTGCAGTGTCTCCCTGGAGATCTCATTGTAAACCTGACCAAAAAAACCAGGAAGCATTTCTTGGGTACAGCCCTGAGCAGTCCTGCAGCTGCACACTTCATCACACCCTGCCACACTTTCTCCTTTCTTTTACCTGGTTTTTAATACAGTCATTCCACGGCAGTTGAAACATAGAATTTGCTACATTCCCCAAACTATTAAGGGATTTATTTTATTTCTTTAAAAGCCTTCATAGCTCCAGTACTGATCATCTCTACTGTCATCTCCTGTTAAAGAAACCTGTCAATGCCTTTCCACCAATTTCTCCAGTCCCTAACCATGGAATTTTTTCTCAGCTGAAGTCACAAAGAATTCTTCTCAAGGATCACAAGATTCTGGCCCCTTTCAGTACTATTTCTGCTTTCATAAAAGTCTACTGATGAAGTGTGGGTGCTGGAAAATATATTCCAGCAAACAAACGACTTTGCATGAGGCTGTCACAGTTTGTCTGCGTTAACAGTTACTGCTGGGATGAGAGCTCTGGCTCAGGAGCACAGATGGCTGCAACAACAAGTGAAATCAGTCACTTACTTTCCTTAACATTCAAGTCAACAACAACATTTTACACAGCTTAACAAGCCCTGGAATGCAGGAATTTGGCAGGCTGCACAAGACAAGCATATGGCTAAATGCATGCTGCCAGCAAAAACAAAATCAGAAGATATATAACAGGAGAGTGTTCTTGAGCATAGAGTGATTAGTGATCTGGAAGACAAATCTAAAAGTGAAGCATAATCATTAATAATGCTGAATTTCAAGAGAGAATCATTAGAATGGTGACAAGGCAGAGCTTACTGGTTCACTAATCTGCTCAGTGACTGGCTCATATTCATGCAATTTATTTTGGGGCTGATTTGGTTGGACAAGGAGTAGAAGAGAGAGTAGAAATTAGGTTTCAACTATTTTTTTCTTTCCCATGACTTCAGATATTCAAAGTCAAAACCTATTGAAATAGATGAGTTACCACAAAGCCAATTATACCAATCCTGCTCCAGAGCTGTAATGGGCAGATTTTTCTTAGATGTTTGACAGAACAAGAGATAATTCAGCAAAGCATGAAAGAAATGCAAAATGCTAATATGTCCTTTGCTTTTTTTGGTTTAGAAGCTCAGGGCTGTACCCTTCAGGGACTGTTTACTTATGGCTTTAGAGAGGTTTGTTTGAACAAACAGTTTGAGTCGTGGGGCCCTGTGCTGCCAGGGGACCATTCAGCAATGTGGGGGAAGCTGGCAGTGTCTCAGCTTGTCAATAGACATTTCAGCTGGGCTTGCAAGCAGATGTGAAGTGACAGCTCCTGATCTGTGCTTGCTCACACATCCTTTTATCAGGCTGCTGCATCTCTCAGGTGTAAGTTCCACAGCAGTGACCAAATCCATTTCAGGAGCCATTAAGCCTATGTTCATTGTGTGATGATCCAGAATCCAGTGCTTGGACTCATGGAGGAGAGGGAGAGACATGTGATGACATTGTGCTTCCCAGCCTCTTTTCCCTGTTTTAGTCAGGAATAGCTAAATAGGATGTAGGTTTGCAACAACCTCTAATAAACTCCCTCTTTGACATTGAGACTGGTCCCTGAACTGGAAGGCAAACATGGAATAATGTTATTGACTTTGTTGTGTAAAGAGAAGAGCAGCACTGATTTTTAGTGCAGAAGTTGGTCAGATGCTGATTGTTGGGAAGCTGAGGCAGAGCTATTAGGAGAGAAGCACTTGTGTAAAATGAGTCATCCCCAGCTCTGCCTTTTTTTTGTGGATTAAAAGAAAGAAGCCTACAGAAAACAAAATGATTCACTAATGAATCTTACTCTGTGCAGATCCGTGCAAGAAAATGCATGAGAAGGTAAAAACCAGAGACAGAGCAATCTCCAGTGTAATAAAGGAAGTTAAAGCCAACCCCTCCTATTGCTACTACATTAACTACATAATGAGGTGGAAAAGAGCCAATTTCAAGCACTATTCCCTTCATAAACAGGGGGTTTCACTTAAAGAATGAAGCATATTAAAGCAATTTTCTTTTTTAAATGAGAAAAAAATGGGTAAATGCAAATTATTTTCTTAGTTGAAGATGACTTCTTGCAGTCTCGCCTATTTTTCTGGCAAACAGGGCAGTCCAAAACAAGTGCAATTTCCAGGAGAGGGAGCTTAAATTTCTTGCAGTAAAACATTCCACTGCTGTTTTCAGCAGTTCTTTGAAACAACTGCTGTGGATGCCAAAAAAAGAGCCAGTGTGTTCCTGTGGGCTTAACACATCTGCAAGTCAATTTTCCAAGAAAAGACTTGAAGATCTTCTGTGGGTATCTGTAACTATTTTATATTGGGCAGCAATGGGCACCTCTCTGATCTCCTCACTTGATGCCCCAGTACCTACCAAGCCACCCTTCATACTGCACCAAGGCTGGGGTGCTCAGTTCTCCTCACTGTCCTGGGGTCCCATCAGGAGGGGGTCACTGATTTATTTGCATTCCCCATCACACGCAGGCTGGCCCGCTCTGCTCCATCTGTCTGAAATAATTGGTTGCAAGGGATGAACTGAAAGTTCCAACACTGAGGACTACTCTGAGGCAGTAAAAGTTTCTTCAGTGGAGAAGCAAGTATTCTCCGTTTCTGTGGTGACTAACACAGCACACACTCACCCATCTGTCTCCTGTCTCCAAGAGAAGCTGAGGTCAGCTTTCTCAGTGGGAAATTAACTGGATTGCTTTGAGTACACATTAGTGTTTTCAGAACCCTCTTTTCTTGGTCCATATTTCTTCTCAAAAGTATCTATTTATTTCAATATTTAATCATTCCCTTCCTTTCCTGACAGAATAAAAAATCATTCCAAGTTTCACTCAGATCATCTCATTAGCACAGTGCAAGCAAAGAGAAGACCTGCTAGGCTTGTGCTGGATCCTTGGCACAGAAGCCAAATCCAAGATCAACATCAGCTTGGTTGGCAGGGGCAGCTACCAGGCTCTTAACCTCTCTCCAAGAAAAGAAAAAAAAGAAGGCTCAGGTGCTGCAAACCTTGATGTTAGTCACTGCAGCAAGCAGATGGACTCAAACATGTGATCTCCCTGCGTGACTGACTCTGGGTTTTATTTCTACCCTGTGGAGAGCAGTTAGCTACTTCAGCCGACATAAATGTCTCCCCAGAAGAGTAATATTTTAAAAAAATGGAATAAAAAAAACTGATGATAGATTTCTGAAGTTTGCCTGGATTCAGAAGCCTGAGGCTAATGGTAGAGCTGACAGAATTGTATACAAGTAAATAAATTATCAGCTGACAGCATATGTTTTCTTTCAATCTACAGAATTCTGGGCAGAGTTAAGCTTTGCACAGTTATGTCTTGTCTGCATGGTTTACTATAGCAATTTATGGAGTGTCTGTGACTCCACAGTAAGACTCTGAACCTCCATATGCTTTACTTTACACACCAGAATTATTTTGTGGAAGGTAATATGACCCTTGCAAGTGGCCGCATCATCAAAGCCTCACAAAACTGATAGAAACTTCCCTCTTGCTGTTGAAAACTCAATCTGGTTTTAAAAAATCAAGCTGGGAGAAGTATAAATTACTCTATTTCCTTTAGGACTCTGTCAAAATAGTAGTTTTCTTTTCTGACTGGGAAGGTCCAGGAGAATGTGTTATTTTTTTATCTTTAAACCCAGCAAATTATTAGTTTGCTGCCAATTAACATAATGGTTGCCCAGTATCTCCGTTTGCACAAGAAGACTTATTAGGAAGTTTTCAAAATGGCAGAACCTCACTCTTTTGGCAACTTAGTTCAAATAACCACAGGCACAGAAGAGCTTACAAACATTTACATAAATATACATACTTATCTGTACACATACATACACATGTATAGACAGCATTAGAAAGACTCATCTTCCCTTTCAAAGGGTAATGTCTGGAACATCCAGGACACAGCCTGGGTGTGCAGACACACGCCCCTTCCCACCCTGCCTGCCAAAATGTGCTCCAGATTTCACGTCTCCCACGTGGTTGTTCTTGCCCCCTGACCACCAGTTGGGAAGGAGGCAGCTGGACTGGATTCTCCTCCGTGGCATCTTGCTGGATTTGGGATCAGTTTTCAGTTATGTGAACACCAGCCCTAGGTGAGAACATCCATGCACCACCCGCCTCCCCAGCACCGCTTTCACTTCTGGCATCCCGTCCCCTCAGCTGCAGCAAGCCAGGATGTTTCTGTGACACATCAGCAGTGTTGTGATTGGTTTGAGCTTAAAATAGGCCCTGGGAATTAGTGGTATGAAATCATGAAAACTGCAAGTCTCTAAAGTGGGAAACAAATGAATCTTTCTCAATCAACATCTTTAATTGCTTATGTTTCTGTACTTTTGTTTTCTGGCATGATTCCAAAGAAAATAGGAGATTATGTTTGAAATTATTTTCCATTTTTCTCAAGCGCTGATGAGGTATCCTGGGAGATATACCTGAGGGAAGCTGCCCCACAGCAACTGAGTCCCAGCTTTGGGCAATAAATGCGTTTTATAGCCCCATGCATTCAGGCAAGAGCCTATGGTATTGTCCCAGTTGGTGGAGAGAGTGAACACGGGAAGGCAAAATCAAGGGCAGGGATGAAAAGGAAAGGAACAGATGTAAAAGCATTGATCTGATGTACCTGTATTAAAAACACCAACATCTAATAAATACACTGGTCAAATGCTGAGCTCAGACACATAAAGTCAGCTATATAACCTCCAGAACTCACTCTATTTTAAAAAACCCAAACCATTTAGTTCAGACTGCTGAGCCTTATCTAATAAAATGGTTTTCATTTTACATCATTTTCTCAGGTTCTTCTGGAAGGTGGCAGCAAGTTTATTTATCAAAAAACTGGGACAGCTCCCTTGAGAATAAAACAGTCAGAGTCCTATCATCTACTGAAACTTCAGAATGTGCACATACTCTCTTGCATCTCTGCAGAGCTCAAAAGCCTGGCTGTCTGCACAGCTTGCCGAAGCCTTGGATCCCAAGTTCCAGTCCAAAGAAAATTTTTACAGCTCAGTTGCATAATATCCTGACAAACTGTTTATAATGGAAGCACTGACAGATCCTTAACTGTAGGGTTACAAATTCCTTTTTTCTCCTCATTTCTGTTCAAATACTAATATGAATGAATAGTGCAGGGAAGAGGGTGATGCAACAAAATGGAATATTTTTTTTTCAGTTGGGGGTCATGAATATTTTTAGTATAAAAAATCAAAATAAAGAAAAGTGTATCCAAACAAATTGTCTAAAATTTTGGATTGTAATCTAATTTTTTTTTTTTTTTTTTTTTTAATAAGAAACAAAGCTTTTGTAACAAGAGTAATTTAAAGAAGAGAAAACCAGAAGGGAGTGGTTTGAACAGAGCGTGACTTGCTGGGGAATTAATTTAACATAACTTTTTCATAAAAGAGACTTTTCAAGCCATAACAGCAGCTGCTAATATGGTTCATTTATCGCATAAATGATGTCATACTCCGGGTTGTAAAAAAACCTTTCCAAGTAGCGACATCTTCCTCTCCCCCTCAGTCACTGCATCCAAAGCCCAGGGAAGCCAGATTTTTTTCATCAGACTTCAAAGGATTTGGAGCTCAGACCCACAGTGAGCAGAGTGTGATCTCCAGGGAGGAGAACCGGGGCTGGGAGCGGCTCCAGCGCGGTGGCTGCGCCGACGGAGCTCTCTGAGCCTTTGCCACCCCACACATCCCTCCACCACTCCTTGTGCCTCCCTGGGCTCTCATCAAACCTGCAAATCCATCCCCACAGACCTGCCCTTCTCTGCTCACAGCCCCTCTGTGCTGTCATGGGGATTCTCTCTAGCTGGCACTCAGCTCCCACATCCACCCTTTCCCTCCGGGAAGCTCCAGGGCCGTGGCTTGGATGTTTCTCCAGCTCCCACTGCTCTCTGTATGAGGGAGGCCAGGCAGCACCATGGCAACATTGCTGGTCCAAGAACAACACCCTGACCTCAAAAGAGTCGTAGGAGACAGGAAATTTCCCCATTTTTGGCTTTGCCACAGAGACTTGCGTGGGGCAGATACTGCCATGACCTGCCTGAGGATGGGGTTTAATGGTCCCAGAGCGGCCATGCAGGACACGCCAGCCCACATCCCATGTCCTCCCCTCACACTGCTCAGAATCACAGAATATTCTGAGTTGGATGGGACCCACAAGGATCAGCAAGTCCAACTCTTGAGTGAATGGCCTCTACAGGGATCAAACCCATGTGCTGTTAGCACCATGCTCCAACCAGCTGAGCTAATGCTCAGCACCTCACTTGCCCTCAGGAGTTTGTCCCACATCTTAGCAAACCTCAGGTCCTCCAGACAGGTTCTTCTCTTGCTCCTCTTGATTTTGAGAGGAACATTCCCAGCTGCACACAAAAACATGTGAACACACAGAGGTGTGTGGGTACACAGCTCTCACCTTCCCTGGTGCACACATGGTCCCGTCCAGCGGAGGCCCTTTCTTGGTTTTGCAGAAATAGGGGTTCTCAGGGTGGCTACACCACAGCTGCTTGCAGGGATCAAATGTACGGAACTGGAACACACCAAAAAAATCAGAGTGGGTGATGCTTTGAGAGAGCTCCCACTGGAAACTGCAACAGGAGCTGCAGATGGGGGGATTCCTTTCCTAGGTTTAAAATGCCAGTTGTTAGTGCTGATCCCTGAGGAGCACCGTGATGTCTGTGGATTGAATGTTTGAGCATACAGAATCATGACTCTGAGGTGAGATCCCATCTGCATGAGATGGAATGAAGTCAAGCAAAAATAGTTTTACACAAGTGACCAACCAGCTTCCTCAGGCAGTGAGACACACACTGCCTTTTCTTACAGCTTCTCCAAATGGGGCTGCTTCATTTGGCAAACAAAGCAAAAAATCCTTGTGCACCCATGGGAGATGGAAATGAGCTGCTCAGACTTAAGCTCAGCTGTTGTAATCCCCTTCTTAGGGGGATGGAAATTTGAGATCAGGTCCCAAACCAATGAATAAATCAGCATTTTACCTACAAGGCAAAGGCTTCTATAGGAGAGGATGGGAAGCACCCACCACAAAACATACTAAATCATGATGTCTGGACATGCTTTTGGCTATTCTGAACAAAGAAAAATAGAAAGCCTCCATCTCCCAGGCTCTGGAGGATGGCTGTAAGAAAAGATTCTCTTTGGCTGGGACATTCTTCCAAGGCAGCATCAGAGGGAGTTGTGTAAAGACACAACACTACAGCTCATGCTGAAAAGGTCCTCATCCATTATCTAGGGACACTGCTCGGCTCATATATTCCTGCAGATGGGAATGAAAGCAGAAATGTTATGTGTCAGCAGCTGCCAGCAGCTGAAAACATCTCTTTCCATTTAATATTTAGTTCTACTTGAGGAGCTGGAGGTGGGAGTCACAACCCTGCTGCAGAAGACTCTATTTTCTGAGGCCAGTCCACTGAGAATAGCACTAACCTTGCCTTGCTTTAAACTTAGACGTTGCCTCTTATTTTCCTCATACACAAGAGCCAACTGTGTCATCAAGAGCTTTACTCGCTGTGATGCCTATTTTCTCTTGCAAGGTATCAAAATGCATCACGCTTTCCATAAAATTGGATCATAAAAGCATGCTGCCCTGTGCTAGCACTAGGAGATGTGGCAGCAAATCCATCTCCTTCACATCTGGGTGGGAGTTTTGTAGCAAAATAACCAGCTGCCAGCAAGAGGAGGCTCAATAACACAGCAAGCTTGTTTGCTTGACAACTACAGATATTTATGAAACTGCACAATAATTACTTCTGTAACTCCAGCTTAAAAAAAAAAAAAAAAAAAACAAGAGATACTTAGAATAACATATATGTCAACATTCAGTTGTTAATCCTTGCTTACAGATAAGAAGGCACAATATCTTTCCTTGTGGGCTTCACTCCGCTGTCCCTTTTGAGGACATTTCAGAGATGCTTAGACCACTCCTGGATGAGAAATAGCAGCAGCTAAAGTTAAGTACTCACAGCTGTGCACATCATGTATCCCAGCCCGAAGTCAAAGCGGCACTGCTCATTCATGGAGTAGTGAATCCCTGGCAGCTGTGGAAGGGAGGGCCAGTCGTGTTCGAAGGGATCATCCCGCAGACAATCGTAGGAGCTGCAACAGGCAACAATTACAGGAACAGATGGGGCTGTGAGGCTTTCACAGTGTTTGTGGTTTCATTGCCTTTTTGTTCCAAACAAAATAGAGCCTATAATTTCTCAGATCCTGGTCCTGAAGAGCAGCTAATATTGCAATTCACTTTAGCATGTCGTATCTACCTTCAGTGGATTCTACACATCTTTTTTTGAAGCCCTTCCATTGTAATTTCCATTTAGCTTGCAGGTAAATTCCTATCAGTCTCCAGGCCTCTTATGTGGAAAGAATCAAAGGAAGAATCCACATGAGACCAGGAAGAAAAGAAAGTTTAATTAATTTTCCATTTGCAGAACTTCTTGCTGCCTGCAGCTGTCTCTCAAATGAGGTTTCAAAAGCAGAGGCCAGGGTAACCAGCCCAGAATACCACTGAGCTTACAGTTTCCCTGTGTCCTCCCTGAGAAGCAGTGACTCATTTACAGACTTCAGCTGGGTTTGTTCCCTCTCTCTGCTTCTCCTGATCGCTCCCAGCTCCATCCATAGTTTAAACTAAGTTTTCTTTCTGTGTGATCAACATGGAAGTTTCTCCTCTGCTCCTAAGGATGAGGACAGCCTGTAGAATTACATCTGACCAAGTCATGCCAGCACAAAGGACTGATACCAGTCCCACCAAATGGTTAACACAGTGTAAGAATTGGTTGATTCACAACACCAGCCCCGTCCACAGGATCTCTGAAATGTCTCCCAGTTATTTAACAGACATGAGGACACCATACACGAGCCTATCCTGGCAATCATTAAGGTTGTCTTGAAGTTACCAATAGCTGAAAGCAGAATTTTGAGGTTAGATTTACTTCAAAGCAAACCATCATTCTGCTTTGTTATAAGACATTTTATAAATAGTTGTATTTAAAAGAACGTAAAGCAGCCCTCTAGGCCAGATGATTTTTATTTAATGGCTAAAGCTCTGGAGAATCTTGCTAATTGAAACAATCACACTTCCCTCACAATGTTTTTATTCTTTATTGCCACGCTTAAGATATCTACAATAATAAAAGTACTGACAAAAAGACTGACTCATGTTTACTTCATGTATTTTGCTGTACTTTTTTCCTACTAATTTTCAGCTTTTGCTGGTTATGGTAGTAGCTTTCCCATATTTTTTGTACAACTTGCACATAACAAGGGGAGGGTTTTTTCTGTAAGGAGCAAAAAAAAAAAAGGTCATAAACAGAATTTGTCAGGGAACTCCACACAGGTCTAATGCCTGAAGTGTCAAGTCCAAAAAGGAGGGTAAGGGGCATGGATGAAGCTGTTTAAACAGCTTCTGCATTTATGCTACTGAAAGAAAAATTAACAACTGAAGACCTGATTCTGGAACCATGTGTGCTCTTCAGATATCTACTAAAGTCAAGAAAAGCCCTAAGCACTTGAAGGGCAGATTTTCCTCTCTAGGCAGCACCATCTTGTCACTGACAGGTACCATAAGCAACAAATGGCAAGACAGACACAACACTGCTGGGTAGCCAAGGCAGTGCTCAGCTAGAGATTAGAGTAGGGAGGGAGGAAAGCTAGCAATGAGATTCATAACAGTGCCTTCCATCATCCCTGAAAGGACAGCAAATATGCCCTCAATGTCCAGAAAACAAACAGACATAAATAAAATGAGAATAATTTAGAATGGGCTGATATTGTATTTGCAGGGTTCCCCGATGAGGGAAGGAATGATGAATCTGACTTCATGTTCTCAGAAGGCTAATTTATTATTTTATGATACTATATTATATTAAAGAATACTATACTATACTATACTAAAGAATACAGAAAGGATACCTACAGAATGTGAAAAAGATAATAATGAAACCTCATGACTCCCTCCGGAGTCCTGACACAGCTTGGCCCTGATTGGCCAATGAGTGAAAACAACCCACACCAAAAACCATTAAAACAATCACCTGTGGTAAACAATCTCCAAACACATTCCAAAGGAGCAAAACACAGGAGAATTGAATGAGATAAGAATTGTTTCTCTTTTCTCTGAAGCTTCTCAGCTTCCCAGGAGAAAAATCCTGGGCAAAGGGATTTTTGAGAAAATGTGAATGTGACAGGCTGCCATTAAAGCAAAGGCAAGACAAGAACTGTTCCCATGCAGAGGAGACAGGCTGCCCAGCAGTACTCACTGGAGGTAACAGTACTCACTGGGGGTAGCAGTACTCACTAGAGGTAACAGTACTCACTGGAGGTAGCAGTACTCACTGGAGGTAGTGTTACTCACTGGAGGTAGCAGTACTCACTGGAGGTAGCAGTACTCACTGGAGGTAGTGTTACTCACTGGAGGTAGAGTTACTCACTGGAGGTAGTGTTACTCACTGGAGGTAGAGTTACTCACTGGAGGTAGCGGTTCAGCTCCTGCTGGCTGCAGCGGGACCAGTGGAAGCGGTGGAAGGCAGCCTGCACCAGGGGGGCCATGATGCTGCCCAGCCGGACCTCGTCCCCACAGCGGTTCCCTTGGCCGTCGTGCTCCATTCCTAAACTGCCCCCAGCAGAGACACAGAGGTGATGCTGGGGGTTGGCTCCAAGTGCTGCCCCTCCCCATGCCACCAGGGCTTGGTGCCTGCAAGGTTCTGAAGTCCCACAGCCCTTGTTCACATGAGCAAAGTCATGGGGAGTAAGGGTGAGGATGGGGCTAGAGCTGGTCTGGAGTAACTCCCACATGGAAGGATTGACCCTTGAGAGTACTTTGATGTCATTAGCCTAATCCACTTTCAAAAAATACCTAAAAATGCCTTTTGTGGGCTTTGTGCACATGCACATTTGTGAATTACTACAGCTAAATGTGAATCCATTTCTGAATTACTAAGCCTGCCCACCCTCCAGGAATACTGACAGAAACGTTCCCAGGCTCTAATCTGGAGCTATTCAGGGCTTTATATAACTTCTAAAAAAATCACACCTTAGCTTGATTCAAAGTATTTTGCAACTGCAGACAATTCCTTTGCATGGAAATAAAGAAAGGCACCACACAGAAAGCTAGTTCAGACAAGCTGCTGCTGTTGCCCAGGAGCAATCCCACATTGTTTAAATGTGAAACAGCTTGGAAAGTGGTGGATGCTTTCTAGAAAATTACCCCAAATTACAGACAGTTTAAAATTTCTTTTTGGATTTATTATGAATATATTTGCTCCTTTCCTTTGTTAGAATCTTATATTGTATTTTTAATAAGCACTATTGGACTAATGTGGGCAATATCTGTCCATAGTTAAACCAAATTACCAGACTGGAGCTGAATATGACTTGAGGGATTACAAACTTTCTGCAGTCTTTTTTAAAGTCCATGCTGTGTTCTTTTCATTCCTAATTCAAAAATTCTGGAAGCAAATACTATCTGAGTCTCAAATAGGTGTTTCTGTCTAACTAAGATATGTTTATGGTGATTTCAATAAATTTTGACACTTTATTGTTTAAAAAAAGAGAAAGGACCTGCAGGCTTTCTCAGAGAAAACAGAATAGATGGAAACTGTTCAGCAAAAGCCTTCTGGTACCTGTTATTCTACCAAAGAGAAAATGGGAAATCAGTGGGAGTTCTCTGGAGGGAGAACAGAGAAACTAAAAAGATCTGGGAAAAACCAAAGCTCTGACAACTGCTGCTCAGGCATTGGTTCAAATCACGTCAACAGGTAAAATTATTACATTTTACAGATATATAGAAGAGTTGAAACTGTTGTGCTTGGCACCTCGCTTCTATACAGTATTGTTACCTTTATCAGCACTAACATATACAGATTATGTGCTTATTTAGTATGGATTGCTTGCAAGAATACTGTGTTCCACTGACTCAGTGAATTCATATTTCTTTATTATGGGTACTTTATATTTCCGCCAGGAGACTACAATACATCATTCAATCGAGTCCCACAGCAGCCCTGGAAGATATTTTGGTATTAGTTCTTTTTTTCCCATTTGAAGATCCCAAAATATAAATCTTACTTAAGACCATAAAGAAAGCTTTGTGAGAGCTGAGACCTGAAACCAGAGCTAACCCTAAATATTGTTTCTTAACAGCAATTGCATCTGTTTAATGTCAACAGCATTTGTTTGTACAAAAAACCATTTAAAGGCACAACACAAATGTCCAGTTGTACTCACACATGTCCAGTTTCATGAGCCACCACAAATGCAGATGAAAAACCATCTTCATGGTTGAGAGTGCAGCTCCGGACAGGATGGCACATCCCAGTGACGGGAGCGTAGCCTGTGAGAAACACCAAGGGTTTCAGAAAATGAGCAAGTACAGAAAAATCAGAGTGGTGGGAAGCTCTAGGGTGAGCTGTGTCCTTTGTTGTGACACAAGTATAGTTGAAGCGGCCCTCCCAAGACCTCTGCCCCCAAACATTTAATGATGTGCTCCTTCATCTGTGAAACAGATGAAACCAGCTTTGAACAAATGAAGACTTCCTGGCTCACCAAGAAAATGTTTATCACCTCTTGGACTGCCCTACAATTGCCTTTTCTAAGTGCCTAAGACAACAGAGGCAAAGAACACCACATGCTGCTGTATGGAGGAGCCCAATACCACCCCTCAGGGAGCAAAGCCCCATCCCTGTGTTGACAGCAGTTCTGGCCAACTCAAAATCAATGGGAAATCTCTGAGATTTCTCCCCTCTGGTGAAAAACCTGATCCCACAGGAGGCAGAGGTCTGAAAAAAGGAAAAAGTGGACAGCGCTTGGCCCTGCTGTTCCAAACCTCTCCATAACCACATTTTTAATGAATTGTCTGTAACACAGCAACAGCTTTGGAACTTTTAAAACACAAAATCTATTATTTAATCTTGGGGCATTTCCAGGACTGTTTACATATGTATCCCATTTTCTCTGCTTCAGTAAGAACACAGAAATGATCCAATAGGTTATCAGTAAGAAAGAATCAAATAACAAGTAAAGCAGTTACAACTGAAAATGGCCCAGCACAGAGCTCTTGGGGAGAGAAAACACTGACCACAGCTCAGCAAAAGATGTACAATTAAACTTTACATGGTTAGCCTGGCTTGGTAATAAATGCAAATGCAACCCAAACCCAGGCACACACCTTGCATGCCTGATGGACCAAAATCCTGCCTGGTGAGGAAGATGGCGTGGTCGTGGTACTCGGCGTGCCCAGTGTCGGGTTTCTGCTGGAGGTAGGCCCAGCGACACACATTCTCCAGGCTTTGTGAGGGGTTCCCAATCTCTATCAGACTCATGGACTGCAGTCACACAAGGGGAAAAATGACACCAAGAGTTATTTATTAGAAGTGTAGGCAATTTTTTTTCCCAGCTTTTTCAGGCACTTCACTAAGCATCCCATTTCCATTACAAGTTTGTTCTTAATCAGGAGATACTTACACTTCAGAAACAGATTTTACTGGATCCAGAAAGCAAGAAAATAGCTAAAGTTCATGGTTAGATTGTAATTTCTGCATTTAATGAGATCTAAGACATAACAAAATTTAAAAATAGATGAGAAATAAAAAGATGGGTATTTTAGTGACAAAACTGATACTGGGTTGTAAACTCTTATTATTTCTATGCCACCCTGGCATCAGTTTACATCATTTTATCATCTCTTTACCATCACTTCCAGTCTGGATACACAGTTCCTGGATATACAGGGAGCCCATGTCCCTTTTGGAACCACAACAGTCTCAACCAGGAGAGACTGACCCAGTGTGGGGAAGATCAATGCCTAATGGCCAAGAAAAGCCTATCACAACAACTGCTGAGAGCCAGCACCCTGTCCTGTTCATCGCTACTTTTGTCATGAAACAGAGCTGGTTAGGCTGTTCTGGCAGACCTTGGCACACTCCTGGGTGCTCTGTTGGTGTAAAACCAAGTGCACTTTTTCAGCTGTACCTGAACCATTACTTCCAGAAACAGACTTTCTCAGTAACTGTCTTTTAAATTGCATTTTTTTTATCCCATTACTCATCTGAAGATCATTCAGAAGGTAGAACACAACTTCCCTCTGTGGGATGCCATTCTCCATGTAAACCACAGGTTACATGGGTGGTGAACTGACACAGCTTAGCTGGCTCCAGTGAGCTGATGTGTTAGGTGAGGTGCAAAGAACAGTTCTCTTGAGCAAGGAAGAGAAAGGCATTTTAAAATCCAACTATTACATTTGCCTCTTTTTTATTTATTTTTTTTAGTAGTACTTTCTTAGGAGTTCCCAGCTAAGTCTGCTTGATACTGTGCCCTGCTAAGACTTTAGAAAGCTTATTGTGTGTGGGATACTCTAAAATGTATGACTAACTGACCTGTCTCAGGACTTCCAGGATTTGTAAGAACCACAGATGTGAACCCTGGCTTTTCATTTGCAAAAATTATATTACCATGACAACACTGTAATCATAACAAAACCCACTACAGTTTAGATGCTATACTGTACTGCAAGCATTTGTCATTCCAAAATACTTAATGTAGAGCAAAACTTAGCCTATGCCAAAAATAAGAGAGAAGTAATACAATTCATGTTTAAATACAGATGTATTTGACGTGTCCTCTAATTGAATGCATGATGGAGTACATAGAGTATTGACTACATGAAAAAGAAAATCCTCAAAGGGTTGTGGAAGAACAACTGGAATTGATAAAAGAAGTGTCTGCCAAACTGAGGTCTGATTTTGGCAAAACTAAGATATTACAATTCTGCAAATGTTCAGAAAAACAAATTTATAAACCAAATAGAGGCACAGTTTGGATTCTGATACCACTGTGGAATGAAAAAGTTGTAATATAATCCTGTATTGGATCATACTGCTTCCAGCCATAATTCCCTTGGAAATTGAACTAATAACTGTATTTAAAATGGTGGGACAGTTGTGGTGCCTTTATTGAATCTTTGTATATTTATAAGAACATACTTAAACAAACTTTGAGTTACTAATACAGGGCAAAATCCTGGCTCTCCAAGAAAAATCCTAGTCCCTTAAACAGGGTTTGACTCTTGCTGAGGTCTTTAATAACATCCATCAGTGGTAAAACAAAAACAAACAAGCAAACAAACACAAAACTTATCTATATCACCTTCACTCTTATTTCTCTAAAACTGCACAAAAAAGGTCCATTCCTTCAAGGACCTCAATAAAAGAATCTGACTGCAAGATGCAAAAGCAAAAAATGCTGTAAAATGAAGTTGAGAAACCTCTAGTTTTCCAATATTTTCTGATGTTTGCTAATACTTCTTTATTTCATAATGACCTCCTTGTGTACATTCTACCAAATTAAAAATTGCATCATTTAAGACACAATGATCAGAAAACAGTGAAAACACACACCCTATCAACATATGCTTTGTTTAAGGGTATCCAATTATTTGCAAAGAATTCTTGAATTTGCATGATCAGCAAAAAAGCATAGAAAATAAAATGTCAATTATTTCCTAATAACCACTGCTTTATAGCTGTCCTCTGTCATCTCTTCCCTGCCCGCTAAACCAAACCCTTGTTGGTGGAGTCCTTCACAAAAGCAAAATGTTTGTCTCTGAATGAACCAAGAGAGCAGGTTACAGAACTGCTCTGATTAACAACGAGTCTGCCAGGGGCCAGAGCAGCCTGGCACAGCAGAGCAGCAGCTCCCGTGGCTCAGGCACTGCCCTGGCATCTGCCATGAGTCAACAACTCCCTCACTGGATTCTGAGGCCATTCCAACCGCAAAACCACAGGCTCAGTCCAAGAGAACCTCAATGCTTACTTATCAAAACACTGATTTTAGAGTTTGTCTTCAAGCAAATGAAGCTGGACCAAGTGGTTAATGTGGAGCATTGTGGGGTTTTTGCATCCAACACAATAGGGAGAAAGAAAAAAACCCTTTCACGTAAAAGGGGAAACTGAGAACACACAACTCCCAGAAAACATGTTTTAGCTGACCCAACGTTTTTGCCAATTACACAACTTTAACATCATAAAACTGAGCCATACTGCTCTTTAAGCTGGGACATCCAGTAGGAAGTCATTTATTTTGAGTGTCCATGTGCTATGAATGTAAGTAGCAAGTCTAGGTCCTGTAAGTGGGGAGGACTTCAAAGAGTGAGAGGAAAAACTCAGTCTGTCTGCTGAGTACTCCAAGACCACTGAGCACTCAAATCATCTGGTCACTAATCCCTTGTCTTTTCTCACTGTAATGCAGCAGCCTGAAAAGAGAAACCCACTTGATTCCTAGCAAATTTTCACCTGAACATCCACTTTCTGCAATTTGCCAAAGATCAGACAGGCTCCATCAGTGCTAACAGCAAATATTGCATGGCCAGCGAACCATCAGTGAGTCAAGCTCACTGTGCTGTGCAACTGCACTGGCTGAGACTGAAGAACCACGAACACCATGGTTCTCTCCTGACAGCAGGCAATGGTATGGCCAGGCAAGGGAATTTGAGGTAGTGTTTCCCTCCAAAGAACCTCCAAGGTTCCAGTGGTCTTTGGGTCAAAGACTTCCTAAGCCAGGCATGCCTTTATATAGAATTTTATCCACTTTTCCAGCTGCCTTGTCTTTACAGATAAATGCTGCTGTCCTGAAGAAAGGAGTTTAGGAGATCATGGAACCAGGCAGAGCTTGTTAGTAGACAGGGCAGATGTCATATGTTTTAGAAGGATGTTGTCCAAAAATTACTCTTGTAGAGATATCAGATAACACTTAATAATATTTTCTTTTGGAAACCAATGTAGGCTTTCATCAGAGCCCAAGCCTTTATTAAATGGACAAAGCAAATGAGAAAGAGGAAAAGAGATGAGCTGTGTGCTGTAATAAAGGCTGAAAGGTAAAATCCCTCTTTGTCACACAGCAAACAGGGGAAGTTGGGGGCCAGCAGGCTGCACATGGAGAAGAGGTGTAGGTGTCACTCTTGGCCAGCAAAGGGCTCACACTGCCAGGAACTCACAGGTCCTGCAGCTGGCTGGGAGCTCTGACCTGGCTGGGAAGGACCTCTTTCCAAGCAGGACAGCAGGCCTGTGGAGAGCATTACTCAGCTGATCAGCAGGAAAACTGCCAATGGAAAGAGAAACTTTCCTTCTCACAGCAAGAAAAGCAAAAATATCTGTGAACTGCTGATTGAAACAGATGGAGATGTTGACCAAGAAGTGGAAAGGGCTCAGCTGGGAAAACATCCCCCAGGCAAGGAGATACCACAGAGGGTGACGAGGACAGTCTGCCCTACAGAACTAGATGGGGCCTTTTCTCTGGGAAACTCAGCATCTACCAATGTTGCACATTTTCCTCCCTTTTTGTGATTCTGCCTTCATCTCTTCTCCACTCCCTTCCTTCTTAGATGGAAGCAACAAAAAAAAAAAAAAGAAGAAAAAAAAAAAAAGACAACTGAGTTGCAACTACCATTCTACCATTCATACAAAGAGGCAAAGCAGGGTATAAGAAGTGGTTGAAAGCCAGAGAGGTCTCTGAACTTTCTTATCCTTTGGGAAGTTATCAGTTCTCTCATATGAACACACTGAAGAACGAGTCATTCATGAAGCTGTGGAAAGCCCTTCAAATACTTGTGGAGATTATGGAACAAGGAAGAAATATGTAACTTTTTTTTTTCTTTAACAATGTCAAGCTTATCTTGGAAGAAAACTGCAAAATTAGTCTATATTCTACCCAAGCCTTTCAAGAACGTTCAAGCTGCCAGCCCACGTGAAAGACACACTGGTGTCACACACAGAGTGGCAGCTCCCCTTAAACAAATGTTTTATTTATCTGATATTTGGCATCACTGGGTACAACTTCGCAAAAGTGATGATGGGCAGGTACCTGGTGATAAGAACATAAGGAATTTAGGCTGGTCAGATGCTTGGGACCTTTCCTAACTCATCCATTAGGTGGTGCTCCAAGAGAACCAACGGAGAAGGCTTTGCAGCTCTTCAGTAGCTCCAGGAGGAACAGAAATATTCTTAACATGACAGGCTTCAAACTATAGCAGGAAAAGTTGGACCACAGCAGTGCACACGTTCAGGAAACAATTTAACATATGACTTTCCCTTTCTGAATGTGTAAAGTCTCTGCAAAACACACTGTTTACATTGCTTCTACTTGGCACTTCTATTGCTCATGGGATATTGGATTAGAACTTCTATATTCTTCTTTCATCCTGAACAAGACAAGCAAAAGATAAATAAATACAATTATTGAATGTCCATGGTAACCAAAATAACAAAAATAGCTCATTCAGCAAACTGTCATTTTGCATTCAAAGGATTTGTAAAGCTTTCTTATGGCAGCA